TCAATTTTATGACAAACCCAAGAACACTCATTACAGAGAAACGCACAAATGAATAATATGATAGTCATTACAACATGTAAACCGCAGAATAACAGCAGTTAGGTCCCTTTTGGATATACAGATCGTAACGTTGATGTTTTGTTTTTGCTGCTTTGAGCATTCCTGGTAAAGATAAAGACGCATTGGATATATAAAGTGTTTTTTTTTTCGCTTTTAAAAAAGTATCTATCATGAAGACATAATCATGTTTCTATTCAAAACTTGCCTAATAATACACTCTGATTTAACAAAAGAAGATTACCGACACAGCTGTATCACAATGATACGTGAATCTAGTGTAGGTCTGATATTCTTTTGTGTTGAAATGTTGTTGAAAAAAGTAAAATAACAAAAATACCGAACTCCTATGAATTTAAAAAACGGAAAGTCCTTTATCAAATGGCAAAATCAAAACCTCAAACACATCAAACGAGTGGAAAACAACTGTCATATTCTTGACTTGGTACAGGCATTTCCTTTAGTAGAAAATGGTGGACTAAACCTGGTTTTATAGCAAACTAAACCTCTCACTTGTATGACAGTCGTATTAAATTCCATTATATTGACAACAATGTGTGAACAAAATAAACAGACTAAAAAGGTAAAACAGTCAAAATTGGGGTACAGCAGTTAGCGTTGTGTTATTATCTTAATCACTATAAAAACAAAAAAAAATATATCAACAAAGAAAAACAAAATGGCATATAGTCAAAGCACATAAGCAAAAATGAAAGACAAGAATACAAAAAATTACCATTACACAATAACACAAAGACGGAATGTATAAGTACCGAGCGACGCCAAAAGACTATTACCAAAAAATGGACTACACATTAAATTTCCATCAACTGCAAAGGACAGCATATTTATTTCTAGAAGCTCATAAACAGGATCCAGAGAGGGATGGCAGAAATGAGACCCATTAAAACTGAGAGAAAATAAATACGAAAAAAGTACATAGAACATCTCTGAAAACTTAACTCAATATATTATAAAACAAATATTTTAAAGATAATTGGTATGCTATCCTAACATTTACCCAAACTATGTTTTAATAAAAGAAACGTGCTTCTCGGACATTGTACCTCAGGCATGTTAAAGAGCTGGTATTGAAAAGTTAAAAGTGCGAGATTAAACACACTTGGGTAGTTGTCTCATCGGCAATCGTACCGCATCTCTTTGTATACATATTGGAAAAATGAAATTTAAAGACTGCGATTTTTTGATTTTTTGTTCGTTTCTATTTTTTTATTTATTTTTTTTTTTGGGGGGGGGGGGGCAATGTGCATATACAGAGCATAAATTGCAAATAAGTGTGATTTAGGTATACCCCGCACTATGCGGAATCTGAAAAGGTTATATTAGCTAACTGTTTCATTTAACAAAGATGCAACTTAATAGAACACTGGATTTACATTTTAAATTGAATGTGAAAATATGTTATTTGTGCCAAGGTTCTAAATTTTGATCAAAACATTTATCAAGTGCGTCATTAAATACAACACACCTGCAATATACATTTACCAAGGACTAGTATATTATACTGATGGCGTGATTATATACGAAAACATAATATCACTTTAAAGCATTAACAATACAATATATTTTGAGTTTTCTTTAAATGGACAAAAAAACCATCAAACTTAAAAATGTCAAACTTGAAGTCTGGATGGGTCATATCACGTTGTAAAAATTAATATGAAATATTTCTGTCTAAAACACAAACAATGAACTTTAAAATTTAAATCTACGTTATATGATGCGATCAGTCTTTTTCCTCGTGATCATAAGTGAAGTATTATCAAAACGTCTCTTAATTCGGTCATTTACACTCTGCAAACAATTTGCGTAGTATTGCTATTTGAATTATGTGCAACCGAGTGAAGTGTCAGGCTGTAAATTAATATATTAGTATACAAAGTAAACATTTTTCATTGTATATGGAGCATCACACGGCAACATCTTCTTAATCAAATAAAAATTATAACCTGACCAGTGAAATAATCCTTGAAGCTGAAATAATCCTTTATTTTTATACTCTGCAAACAAAGTGTGCATTTGTGCCAGAAAAGAAATGGCAGGTCATGCATGCTTTAAATACAGATCACTAATATGCAAATGAAACGCACTCGCTTTTAGTTACCAATACAGTTCTTTTTTTAATGTAAAATGGTAAAAATGAAGACCACACGTACCATTATTCTTCACTCAATAGTCGTCAAACTGAGATTGATCTGTTTGCAACTTTCTACAAAAAAATTGCATTTGTCATAGTTGGTTACATAAGTAGATTAGTCAATAAGGCGCTAAGGCGGAGATTTTTATCTGAAATACACTAGTTATGCCAACTGTAAAACATGTTTTGTATTGGAATGGTAGAACAGCATAGAGTGCCAATTTTACATACCCCACACAATAATATTAGTAGACTATAAGATAAACATCCGAAGCTTAAACGGTAAATTAAAATCAAAAGCAAACACAACTACCGCAAAATACATGGTTATTGGAATAGAACATGTTAGATTCACGTCAATAAGACAGCAATCTAACGATATAGATAACAAATATTAATCTACAAGACATTTGTAAATTTTAAAAACTAGACACGTGTCCTTATAATTACAGTATATGACCATTCCTTTAACTCTTTGAAAAACCGAATGTTCATATTAACTAAACATATATGAGTTTATAATATGAACGTATGAACTTAGAATTCGATAAGAAAATATGTAGTCGCTAGGTATTTTCCTTCTTTAATGAATTCAACATCCTTTGAAACAGGAATGATGTTAATTTAAGATCATTTTGAGCATTTTTACACACGTAAGAGCCCTCAAAATTAGAACCCAGTAATCACAATGGAAATGTTGCAAATCTGTCTTAAAGTAGTACAAGTAATACATATTTGAATTTTGAGGTATACCTGTAATTTGCTATTTCCCATATTTGTCAAATAAAGATATTTTGATTTCCATCACAGGTGACCGGCCCAAAAGGGAGAGATTCAGTTTAAGTCAAAAAGGGAATTTCCTTATATATCTGGTATATTGGCATTTGTAAACGGTTAAATTTGTCTTTTAGTTTCTTTATCATGATATTGTTTTGGTATAGACTTATAAAAATAATTATAATTTTAAGTCTTCATTGGTGCTGATCAACAGTAGTTGATGCCGTCTATGTCAACATCCTGGAACTCACTCTAAAGGGAGCTCATAGGCTTATAATTTTCTGCAAACCTGTTTTAGTGAAGTTACCTTTTTATGAACATTATGTATCATACAAAATATATATAAGCCCAGGCTTTACCCAAAAATGAATTTCACACACATTTTTAACTTCTTTTTTAAAATACATTTTCAGCACAATAAAAGGGACATTCAAACTCAAAAGTCGAAATTAAACTGGCAACGCCATGGCTAAAAAACGAAAAGACAAACAGACAAACAGACAGTACACAAAACACAATATAGAAAAATAAAGACTGAGCAAAAACTGGTGGTGATCTCATGTGATCCAGAAGGGTAAGCAGATCCTGCTCCGCATGTAACTCCCGTCGTGTTGCTCATGTTAGTACAAACTTGGTTATAAGTCTAATTCGGTAGGTCACATTCGGGGAAAAGGGGACGGGATTGTAGCTACGACATTTGGAACATATCCGCTATCATCCGTGAAACGGATATTCCATAACGGTCAACCAACTCGTGATGACGTCCGTAAAATTTACGATGATTTCAACTTCACCAAATGAAACTCTTGGTTTGATAGCTTCCTTGTAAGCAGCAACCTTCTATCAAGGAAATCATGATAGGAAATACATGACATGGAATATCGACTGGAAGATATATGCTACGTATGCAGGCGCTGCTGGAATGTTGCCACATAGAAATGGAAAGTTGTCTCATATTTATTACGAGATCCTGTTTAATTTATGCATACAGTACCTTTAATTAAATTTTTCATCATGTTCAATATTTTGCATTAAAAATATTTTTGATTTCTAATTTTTGAAAATTGGGAAGCTGAAATCATCTCTTTTGTCTTAAAAATTTTGTTTTCAACCGACCCTCATTGTCAATGTCTAGATGTGAGTCAAGATATGAGGCAGACTTAATTGTATCTGTCGTATCCTTAATCTCAAGTTCGATGGGATAGATGCGTTCAACATAGTCACCAAACTTTGAATTATTTAGTGAGAGAACATCATCTATATTGCTGAAAGTAAAGTTAAAGGATAATGCCAACTTCTTTTCTTTCTTCCTCAGAAATTCCTGTATGGATCAGTCTCATAGGAATAAAGGAACAAGTCGGCAAGAAGAGAGGCACAGTCGGTTCCCATGGGAACGCCGATTGTTTGTTGAAAAAGACGTCTTCCAAACGTAACAAATATGTTATCAATCAAGAAATCAAGCATCTTGATAATGTCTGTTTTAGAGAACTTTTTCTCTGAATCAGAGTTATTTTTTACAAAGTAGGATTTATCCCTCTCTAAGACAAGATACTTGTATCTACGTTGACCAAACTTTTTTATGAAAGAAAACAGGACCAACTCTTTCAATATTCTTTAATTTGGAATGGGGAAATGGTGAAGCGTTTTCTCATTTTTTTAAATATTAATGACAAGATCTAAAATTAGGCTATTATGGGAGATTTTGCTGTTTTGATCCAAATGTAAGACAATCGAAGCTCTAATGGCAATATGTAAGACGAATTTCAAACATATAGACATAATGTAATATTATATTTTCTGTAAAGTATCGTTATTAGCTCATTTAAAAAAAAATATTGTCTCATATTTATTACGAGATCCTGTTTAATTTATGCATACAGTACCTTTAATTAAATTTTTCATCATGTTCAATATTTTGCATTAAAAATATTTTTGATTTCTAATTTCAATATTTTCATTAACTACATTTGATGTTTATGTTGTATGCTGTAATTTTATTGTTAAAGACTTGTATTTTTCATGATACAAGGTTTTTACATGTTCAGTGAAAATGTGGTCCAATTATCTTGTCAATGTATTACAGTTTGGAACAATTGAAACCATACACAGTGCATTAGTAGACGAATATCCGAAGTTATTACGAAACAGGAAAACACTTTTCATGAGTGCTATATGTTGTGTTGGTTTCATCTCAGGCATACCGTATATAATGAATGTAAGTAGGTACAGTGAAAAACAACAACAAAGAGGTAATTTTTCAATATCTGAAAAGATGATTTTACTTTCCGTAAAATGTCCATGTGAAAAAAATAAACTGAGAACGTCATGGCCAATAAAAGAAAAAGACAAAAAGACAAACAACAGTATACACAACATATAATTTGAGACTGAGCAACACGAACCCAACCAAAATCGGGGGTGATCTCTGTGGTCCGGAAAGGTATGCAGATCTTGCAGCAAATGGGACACCCGTCGTGTTGTATTTGATTTAAAGAAATGGGAGAAACTGTTCGGTTAGGTTTATAGAAAGTAACCAAACATAAAAGGTGCATATGTATTTGAAAGCATAATTCAATCTTTTGCTATCGATTTGTACTGAATTTGAATATAAGATAATATAGGCTTTTGAACTGTACAGTACTACTTTTATCGCAGATAGAATACCAAGAAGCGTTACGAGGTCCAGCTATCATTTCAATGTTTGATCAAAGTTAACGAGTCTTTACGTATTTATAGTAAAAGAAAAAAAAAACTGATGTATATGTTTTTTGTTTGGAACAGACGCTTTGTATGTTTAAATATTCTAGGGAGGAACTTATATTTTACAAACCGTAGACTGGTATGTTGGATTGATATCTTCAATGATAGCTGCAATAATGGAATGTATTTAGATTGGATGGATGTATGGTAATATTATTTATCGGTAATTTGTGCATTTTTCATTTGATGTGTACTCACTGATAATGTCAGTATCAGTGGACTGGTCGTGATAAAAAAAACATTGGGTCAGTTCGCAATTGACATGTGCGAGTGCATCGCGTAAGGATCTACTTTCCTTTTCATTTTTTTATTTTTCATGATGAACCATATGACAAAAATGATGTGAAATTACATACTACAGTATTAGACACAAATTATAGAAAATAAGTAACACTTGTAAGATCGATCAAGTCATATTCCTGACTTTGGTACAGTCATTTCCTTATCTAAAAAATGGTGGATTAAATCTGGTTTTATAGCTAGCTAAACCTCTCACTTGTATGACAGTCGCATCAAATTCCATTATATTGACAACAATGTGTTTACAGAACAAACACACATGATAAGTAAAAATTTCAAAAATAGGGGTACAGCAGTCAACATTGTGTTACAATTTTAATCACTATAAAACAAACAACCATGCCAACAAAGAAAATCAAAGTGGCATATAGACAAAGCAGATAAGCAAAAATGAAAGACAATAATACAAAAAAATGACCATAACACAATAACACAAGTGCGGGATGTTTAAATACCGAGCCACGCTAAAAGGATATTGCCAAAAATGTACTAAACAGTAAAAGTAAAATTATATACAAATACAAATAAAAGTACTCTTTAACACGTAATTAAGACGATAAACCACGTCAGTACCTAGAATCTATACTTCAAGACAAGCATGTATCATTTGTGATTACTTATCAACCAAGAGTTCCAAATGGTGAAGTTGAAATCATCACTTCGTAAATTTTACGAACGCCATCACGAGTTGGTTGAACGTTATGGAATATCTGTTATACAGATGATATCGGATATGTTCCTTATGTCGTAACTTCAATCCCGTTCCCTATTCCTGAATGTGACCTATTTACCGGGTTTGTAATAACATGAGCAACACGACGGGTGCCACATTTGGATCAGGATCTACTTGCTATTCTGGAGCACCTGAATTAACCCCCAGTTTTTGGTGGGGTTCGTGTTGTTGTTGTACCCCTATTTGTGACATTTTGTTCACTCATCGTTGTCAATATAATGGATTTTGATGCAACTGTCGAACAAGTGAGAGGTTTAGCGCTTTAAAACCAGGTTCAATCCACCATTTTCTACATTTGAAAATGCCTGTATCAAGTCAGGAATATGACATTTGTTGTCCATTCGTTTGATGTGTTTTATCATTTGATTTTACCATTTGATTAGGGACTTTCCGTTTTGAATTTTCCTCAGAGCTCAGTATTTTTGTGATTTTATTTTTTTTTTAGTATCTTGCAATGACCGTTTTTAGAAAAAGGACGACACGTTCTTTGACATAACCCTGGTTCATTAACTTTCTGTTCAGACACTTTTGACGTTAGATAAAGTCTGAGTAGCTATATGCAGGTGAAGTTGGTATATTGCTGCTAAGGTGGGGGAAATTGATAATTTCGAAATTAAAATCGTCTCGTTTGTCATGGATTCTGGTACTGAGATGACCGTTTAAGTCACATTCGAGGTACATGTATAAATCTAAAAATGAGGCGGAGAAAGCCGTGTCTGTTTTTCTTAATTTTCTAGTTCTGGGGTATATATTTATTGAACCAAATAAAAAAAAGTTTGGATTGTTAATTGAAAGAACATCATCAATATATCCGAATATGAAATTAAATGATCAGACTTCTTAAATCTTCTTGTTTCTGACAAGTGTCTAAAGAAATAAAAAAAACTGTAACTCTAAAACACTCAAAAGGGAAGAAAACTTATCAAAGTATTAAAACTTACAACATTTTGTATCAGTTTCTCACTACCTATCAATCAAAGTATCATATTTTTTTCAGAGAATTAAAACTCGGCTTACGTCAAAATCGGACTATGGACCTGCCCTAGAAGTAAACTGTATCAAACCTGTTGAACTTCTTCGGCTTATAACAACTGAACGTTTGGTTAATCAATTGTCTAAGCAGCCGGAAATGTTTGAAGACCAAAAAATATGATTTGAATAAATGTTAGAATCATAGTAATCTTGTGCATTCACCGCTTTTGATTTGTCGGTACCATTTTGGAAAAAATAATGGACATTCATCACCCAAACAGATACAAAAAGATACGAATAACGTATTATTAAAAGACATTTCAAACTATCAATTTTGTACAATCCTATAGGCAATATGTTGCAAAATTAAATTAAACAGATAATAGATCATTCTGTTGTCATATTGGTTAATATTATACATTCATATTTTAAATAAAACTTTGTATAAAAATTGAAAATTAGGTTTCAAGATTTAATATTGATATTCCAGGTTTTACTTTCAACTTTAGGTGTCCAATTCCAATATATGTCAGGTTTTATTGTTCGTTAATAAATTTTGAAATAATAAGAAACTAGGATTTCAAATCCCTCAGGCAAAGTTGACCTTAGATAAATTTGGCTATTGGTCCTTTTTGGTAATAAATCTCTTTACCTATTTAGGTTATTAAACATTCTTGGCTTTCAAATATTCAACTTTGAGCGTTCCTGACGAAGGTAAATCCAGAAAAGGGCTTCGGACGCATGAAATTTATAACGTGTTGTTTTCATTTTTACAGCACTGGGTCGATACCTCTGCTGGTAGACTATCAGTCCCCGAGGGTATCATTACCTCAATAGTCAGTACTTCGGTAGTGACATGATTTATAACAAACCTTTCTAAAATTGTCCGTTCATAAATTTTGAAATAATAAGAAACTTAGGTTTCAACTCTCTAAGGCATTTAGCTCATATAGCTCTTCCACTATTTAGGTTATTATACATTCTTGGCTTTCAAATATTCAACTTTGAACATTCCTGATGACGGTAAATCTAGAAAAGCGCTTCGGACGCATGAAAATTATAACATGTTGTTTTCATTTTTTGATAAATTTCCCCTTTTTGAATTTACCTTGGAGTTCGGTATTTCTGCTAACACATTTTACAAAAAACACAGTTGAGGTAAATATATACTATATGATGGTATATTGTAATGAGTAAAAAACGAAAATGTACGATAAAAAAAAATAAAAATTTCCATTAAAATACATAATCTTTGGACCGAGATGTCAGATCTAAAAACTATTACATTTATAATCGTTGCATGATGTATTATTGAAACCGTAATCATATTGCGGTTATTCCGCCAGAGTAACAGTTTTGAAGAACAAAAATCTTAGGTAAACTACAGTGAATTTCACTCTTCTCACAAGGAGACACTATTAGCTACGATTTAGACAAAAATTTGATTTTTTTTTTTCTATCATTTATACAAGAAATATAAGCAGTCAGTTTGTTCAACTTTGTCAAAATAAGCTCAAAACATAGCTAATGTGGTATAAGCCAGTCAATAATTGAACCTAATGCGACAAATAAAAACATTCATATCGAAGCTGATTTTGTTACTTCTACGATTCAGACTTGGATAAAAACTCATTGAAACGGCGTTTTTTATGTAGGTTATGGTTTTTTTTTTCAATTATGTTGCATTAGTCGAACATTTAAAAATTCCAGAAATTCAAAAGGGCGGCCCAAGACATGTCAATTTTGGATTGACGGTAAATGTTATCAAATAAAAAAAGGTGTTACATAAAGGTTGCATTAGAATGCCCCTTTACCCCTCCTGTGCTTCCAATTGTCTTTGTAGTTAATATTTGCTTTTGTCCGCACTTTATGATACATCCTACGTATTTGCTTTTAATCGTATCAGTCAGCATTATTTTAGTTTTTGGGACATTAAACGTCCAACGAATCGAAAGTTCTATGATATTCCACTAGTGCAGATATAACTTCAAATTATCGGCGTCATCAGGGAAAAAATATTTTTGTACAGTTTTTAACTTAATCGATAAATTAAGGTTATAGCATGCATAATGATGACTATTATCCTTCTTATAATATATATTGCAAGAGCTTGCTCGCCAGCTTATGATACTCAATAATTTATTCAGGACAATATTCACCAATATTTATGCAACAACCCGTTTATTGTAAAGCAAGGCTTGAAAAACTGTGTAATCGTCTTTGGCGATATCAGATTTCTATCCACCATTATATCTCAACAGTCTTTCTGGTATGCGATGATTTGCAGCTTCAGATGTACCAAACTTCCTAAACAGTAGAGACCAAATTTTTACTATCACTCCAAATCTGGTAAAATTTTAAAAAGTGTTTCGCTAGCACGTATCTATAATAAATAATTGTTCACTTTGCATAATGTATAAGTGTAAAAAGATTTTCTGAAGTAAAGTGCTTTAAAAATATACTGATCTGAACCGGTAGATATATCGAATGCTTGCAAAATGGAAAAGCGACCGGACATGTCTTGCTGTGAGTTTTTGCTTTCACTTCAGTATTAAATTTTCAGTTTTGCTGCTTTTTCTATATAAATTTCAAATGGATTGAAGTAATTTAGTGTTTGAAGCTTTGAAATTTCTTTTTATTTTACAAACGTCTGCATAGCCTTAAACACGAGAAAGCCTACTTTCATTTCAAAGATTAACACTATATATCTCTTCAACTGGTCTCAACCCATCAGCAATGCTATGCTGTTTTTTGCAGGAAACGTTTCACATAAAACAATTTAATTGAGTCAAATCGAACAATATACCAATACATATGTGGTATGATTGACAATGAGACAACTTCCCATTAGATACCAAATAGATATCATATGTGACGTACGATGTCACCGGACGGCTCTCAGCAAAAACACGGACAACAAAGCAAACTATAAAAAGACCCCAAAAACGACAAATCAAACGAGGAAACTGACTGCCTGATTTGTGTACAAAACAATACACGAAAAGCAAATATGATATACAGCAACAAACCACAACCACTGAATAGCAAACATCGGTTAAACTTATAATAGCCTTGTAATTATATAATATAAAATTTTTTAGAATGACATCAAAGGTAAAGTTCCCGGGTGTCATCCAAGCCATTTGTAAACAACGCTTTGCATGAGGTACATTCCATTGATATATTTTACTAATTTCTGGCTATTTAAATGAAAAAAATTACCTCACCAATCAAAATCTGAAGGAAATAAACAGTGTTACTATGGAAGATGTAATAGTGATACTAGGTACAGACATCGAGAAGAATTGAAAGATGTGTTTTGATATGGATCAAAGCTTGCGGTTGACCCGATGATGATTTCAACGTGGATAAAACTGAGAGATCTACATATATATGCAGCACGCATTTTGCAGGGAAAAATGGTATTACGGCTAAAAATCCTGATCCAATCCCAACACTTTTACACATATACACAGATGAACAGGTTAGTTTTACATCCCCCTTTTCTTCAACATACATTTTATATATAAGTATCTACATGTAAAGCTTATGAAATTTTAAGATTCACTCAACATTTATTCAGACTGTGGTACGAACTACACATTTTGCTTGTCATTTGTAACAGTGAATGACTTGTCCTGTCCTGTTTAATTGTTTTAATCAAATTTAAAAAATATTTACACACATTTTATTGTATAAAGGTTTGAACGCAAAAGGAAAGCACCTACACTAAGTAGAAAGCCAATAAGTTTTTTTCAAAGAAGGATATTAGATCTGCTGCTGAAGGTTAACCTGACCTGTCTATTGATTTAACTACCCAAAATAATTTTTCTCAGACAACAAATGTAAGTAGTTATATGTTTTATTGAAAAAAAAACATTCATTGAAACACAACCGAAAAAAAACACAAAACATAATTCATGAATTTAATTTTGATTAATTTCAAACGTTTATTACAATAATGCACTTGATATTAATGATGATAATGTCTTCCCTCTGCACACATTTTGTGGCTAGAATATTCAAAAAATAAGTGGCATAATTTATTACATGTAAATATCTACACGTGTAAATTAAATCTTCTCTTTAAACTTTTGTTTCAATTTCAGTTAACAACAATTAATACAGTAACATCAGTTACTAAAGAAAGCAATTAAAATAATAGGAAATTTTTTTTTATGTACATGTACAATATGTAAATTTATTAAATTAGATTAAATATATATTATATTTCAGGAAGGACCATTACCAGCACTTTGTACTGCTACATATGCATCGTCACAAACAGAAAATATAAAGACAAATGACAAAGAAGTGCAAACTATATATATGAAAAAGAAGTTATCAATGCCAAAATCGAAAATATGATTTAATAACCCAAATGAGAAATTGTGAAAGTAGGCAGAATGATCAGCCAAATGAACAAAATGACACCACCCTATAATTAAAGGCAATAAAAAAAATGGTATTCCTCGAACAAAAACCTTTAATTTGCATAGCACCTAACGGGTCAATTGTTTATGTCTCAGACTTATTTGAGGGCTCAATAAGTGACAGAGCAATTGTTGAGCAGAGTGGGTTTTTCGACTATAGCAACCCAGGTGATTTGGTTCTTGCAGATAGGGGATTAACACTTGAAGACCTACTACTCAGACGCCAAGCCTCCTTGAATATACCACTATTTCTAGGAAAAAGAAATGTTACCTCTCAAGAAGAGTTAAAACCAAGATGAATGGCTAAGGCTCGTATACATGTTGAACGTGTCATAGAACGTATGAAAAAAAAATTAAGTTATTGAGTGAATAAATACCTTTGTCATTGTCTCCAATTGCCAATCAATTAGTATTTGTTGCAAGTTGCCTTGTTAATTTTCAAGAACCTTTAGTTAAATGAGAACAAACATACAACATTTTTTACATGTGCATGTATCCATATAAAATATATATAACAATATATGATTTATTTATTGACTTGAAGTATCATTGGTATATTAATGTCCTTTAAACAATTGATTGCCAAATAAACGGATCACCAGATGTAAAAATGGATCTTAATTATTAATTTGATACCAAACAGAAAACAATAAACTTGCGGAAAAGATGGTAAACCGCAAACATGAGGTGCAAAAATGTGTACACCATATCCGGATTTCGACAATTAATGTCTCTTCAGTAATGTTAGGAATCGAAACGGTATTTGGAAGGCCATATAATTAACCTCAATTTGGGATTGACTCTTGAATTTTGAAGAGTCAAAATAGGTTGAACAGATCATATAAACCCGAAGGCAAATATTATACAAGCCCAAACGAAAAAATATAAATACAATTTTAAATTGAAAACAACATTCAAACCTATGATTGCATTGGATAAAAACCGCAATTTTTATACGTGTGCATAAAAAACAAATTTCTTGGTAGAGTCCTGGTCTAAATACAGAACAAACAACATTATTCAAAAGACCAAAAAAGTGAAAAAGTATATTTTAACAGAACGCATTTTATATTGTCATTTCGGGGCCTTGTATAGCTGACTGTGCGGTATGGGCTTTGCTCATTGTTAAAGGCCGTACGGTGAACTATAGTTGTTAATTTCTGTGTCATTTGGTCTCTTGTGGAGAATTGTCTCATTGGCAATCATACCACATCTTCTTTTTTATATTAGCAGGTCGAACAACGGATGTTCTTAAACCCTGCTGACTGCCATGGCGATTGCCAAATAAACGGACCACCAGATGTAAAAATGGATCTTGATTACTAATTTAGTACCAAACAGAATACAATAAACTTGCGGAAAAGATGGTATACCCCAAACATGCGGTGCAAAAATTTGTACACCATATCCGGATTTCGACAATTAATGTCTCTTCAGTGATGTTAGGAATCGAAATGGTATTTGGAAGGCCATATAATTTACCTCAATTTGGGATTGACTCTTGAATTGTGAAGAGTCAAAATAGGATGAACGGATCATATAAACCCGAAGGCAAATATAATACAAACCCCCATTCTCATACAGATATATAAGGCGGATCTTAAACGTTCTGCAAACATAAGGATGCCTTTTGCATTTAAATGTACAACGTCATATGCTATTAAGGATTCGGTAAATTGTAAAAATACAACATCGGATTTATCATCAGCTATCATTTTCTATAAGTATAGTAAATAAGTACATTTTAATCGCAAACGCACAGTGTCACCACCAACACCAAAATTGATTTTATCCCAATATCTCTTTCATAAAGACACATATTTGACCAACTGCCACGTGTATTGCATAAAACAAAATCATGTAATCTATACGAATGAAAGAATGGCCAAAAAGTAACTGTACGTTTGTCCAGAATGTAAACATAAAATAGATAAAACGTAAAAGTATAGCTCGATTTTACCTCAAATTGCAAAAAGGAAATCACTCCAGTCCAAAATTATCCAGTAGGTCCGGTAAGGGCCGATTTTGGCCTCAAAATTCAGGTTCATCTGATGAAAGATTTTGGACACTTTTTAAACACTTAAGTGTCATCTTTAGTCTATTCAATTAGTTTATGTGAAAGATTTGAACTGATTTAGTCATTATTGAAGCTCAAATTCAAGCTTAAATATGAAAAATCTTTTAAATATGCCATAATATGTCACTTTTCAGATGGTTTTTGTCAAAAATGAAAGTGGCCGCATCCGTGTTCATTCTCAACCTTTATATATATTATGTATTATCATCAAATACAACTTACATTTAAATATTAAGAATGAACACAAATGCGGCCACTTCCATTTCAGACGGAAACCGTCTAAAAATTAACCAAAATGCTAAAATTTCGAAGATTTCAGTAATTTAGCATGACTTAATGATGCTAGTACCCGATACATGTGCATTGTAATGTCAAAAACAGCCCATATTTATGTAACAGATGTATTCTTCTATCCAATAAATAGTTAAAAATTTACATTTTAACAATTTTGTAAAACTGCTATATTTTGGGGCCAAAAAGGGGTCTTACTGGGCCTACTCCTTTAAATATTTCACAAATTGTTTGATAAGAATTACAAGTTAACACGTCAAATTCTGATGAAGTGACCACAACGCACTTACACGTGAACTCGTGCTGACCCCGAAAGATCATTGACCAATAAGAAAGATGTAATCCAATCATGCACTGGTCATTAGTGAAATGTCTCTTCACGTGAAAACAAGTTATCTAATTTCAGCTATTTATCGTTTAATTAAGTATGACAAATCTGACCCATTGACCATTACAGAAACATCATAAATTTACAGTATAAATAGCTCACTCTTTATATAAAATCTGAGTAATAAACAATTAATACAGAATTATCTTCTCTGCTGTCTTAAATGATTTTATTCAGCTAAATTTTCAATTAGCAAATAAAATAGGTTATCACTTTAAATGTACATTTTCTTTCTTTCAATTAAAGACTAAATAAATACAATTATTTTAAAACCACTTATTAGTAAATAGATAAGCTTTCTTTTTGTAAATGAAGTTTTTGGTAACTGTAGGTTGCACTTTGTAAATACAGCTGTTTCTCAAACCACGCCTCTTTTGGGGAGATATATAATATTCATAGATATAATAATTTGTTAATGTATGATCTCTGTGTTTCATTTCATAGAGACATCACTTGGGAATGTAACCAGTATAGAAAAACATGGTAGCGCCTAAATTTTAATTCTTAGGAGGTCCAAAAATGGAGGTAAGGGTAGTATAGAATTTTAGTATAAGTTTAAACTCTTAGAAGTTCAGGGCATATAAATGTTGAAAATATGCCGCACAGCCCTATATTTTGACCTTTGAATAAAATAGTAGTGCATATAAACTTTCCTTTCTAGGATATTATTTTTCACGAAACTTCATAGTAAAAGTGTCACAGTTTTAGCCGCAAAGGGAGTTCCTATGGGAAATTGCATTGTCTATATTTACAGAATTGCAACCTATATAGGGTTAAAAATTAGAACATACAGAATTTCACAAAATCTTGTTTATCTCAGAGATTTTTAAGGATTTAACTCAAATATGAAGTTTTATAAATATTTCATGAAGATTGAAAAAATCCTGGGCCTAAACTATGATGAGTCAGCATAAATTCACAGTTTACAGTATGCATTGTTTACTTAAAGCCCTGAATAAAAAATAAATTCATAATATATGCCTATATGTAATTTAAATTGTTTAGAAGTGCTTATATTTACTCTTCGCAGTCATTGCAACTCATTGATCCTTCTTAAATATTTGTGGTGGGGTGTTTTTGTCCTGTCGATAACCCAAAAGTAAGCCGTAACACCTAAATGTGCTTTTTTGTGACTGCGGCATAAAAAGTACAAGCTAGAATTACAAAAAGACCTCAGTAAAACTTACAATAGTGTGTTCTATCCTAAATATGTACCAATTATTCCACATTGCTAGAAACAGGGAAAAAAATTAGGAAATGTGAGGCCCCAGGGGCAAAAAACAGAGAAAAATGCCTCCCCCTGTGTCATAAAACAGATAATTTAACTTCTAAATGCTATGTTTTTATTATTTTAAAGGTCTTTTGTAAGGAAAACAATAACTGTGCTAGGAAGTTATGCAAAAATCAGATGTAAGCAGTCATTTCTATCAAACTTTTAGTGAATTTATGCACCAGACTGATATCTTCATAAATACAACTTTTGCAAATATGGCTTTGTTTAAACACTTGTAGTTCATATATTAACTAACTTATGTTAGATGTATGGTTAGGGATAATACTGTTGTAACATGAATTCTAAACTGACCATTTGAGGCAGAAATTGTGAACTTTCATTGACAAATAGGCATACAGTAAGATGTGGACTGGAGACACAGGCAGGATTGGATACTTTGTATAATCTTGAATGTTGGAATGATTAACTACTAAACATTACATTTATAGTATTTTAAAATGCTTTCAATTTGTTATCAGAATAGTTTCAAACAGGTTTTAGACAGTTAATGTCAGAAAACATGCACATAGGGTAAGCTGGCAATTATTAAAGTCTTGTTTTCAAATTCTTTAAAAAATTGAAACAGGGGTAGGGGTATAAAATGTACTGTAAAAGGAAACTTAGAGTATATGCAGTGATTTCTTTAAGGCTATAATTCTGATAAATAAGTATTGTTTTGAGAAAAAGTGTTTTTAGAGAGTTTTCTATTTGAATAAATGTTTGTATAGGTTGCACTTTGTAAATACAGCTGTTTCTCAAACCACGCCTCTTTTGGGGAGATATATAATATTCATAGATATGTTAATTTGTTAATGTACTGGTTCCCATTTATGATCTCTGTGTTTCATTTCATAGAGACATCACTTGGGAATGTAACCAGTATAGAAAAACATGGTAGCGCCTAAATTTTAATTCTTAGGAGGTCCAAAAATGGAGGTAAGGGTAGTATAGAATTTTAGTATAAGTTTAAACTCTTAGAAGTTCAGGGCATATAAATGTTGAAAATATGCCGCACAGCCCTATATTTTGACCTTTGAATAAAATAGTAGTGCATATAAACTTTCCTTTCTAGGATATTATTTTTCACGAAACTTCATAGTAAAAGTGTCACAGTTTTAGCCGCAAAGGGAGTTCCTATGGGAAATTGCATTGTCTATATTTACAGAATTGCAACCTGTATGGGTCGCCATGGTTTACTGTTTTCATTATAATAAACGTCTGTCCATCAAACTAAGGATTTTGTAAGGTTTGATGTCTATGGTAATTGAATCACAAAAAAATATTTTGATTTTCAATCAAGTTTCGTCATTGTACTTACCTTTCTGATAAAGTATTTGTGATTACTGAGTATTAGATAATTTCGATATTGAATGTTATATTACTGACATCATAAAAACCAAAAATAGGTTTTCAATGGCATTCGACCTCATTTTGACAAACAATCGCATTTCATGAGTATTGAAAGACCCGAGAGAAAACTATGGTGGTTTGTTTAAAGGAGTTAAAATGAAACTATTTAGTTAAGGTAGCACAATACAAAGATTTTTTTACTTCCAATCTCCAACCTTTAAAATGATGTTACTTTCTTATGACTGCATACAAATTAAAAAAAGAGGTATATATAGATAGATAAAAGATTAATCTTTCAAATGAATGCAATATTTTTGTTATGCAATCATTATGTAATCAATTATTATGCAATTAATGGCAAAATCTTGGTCAGTTCACTTGAATGAATTTAGCTCTGACATCTCTATAACTACACAAGAAATTTTAACGTTATCTTAATCAACACAGCAGGAGCTACAAAAGGGTGTCTCAAATTATCGCTATTGTTTTCCATTCTCTCATAAATCTGTAATTAGTGTAAACATCCTTACCACATAAAAGTAGAGATTATTTGATTAGGTGTAAAATTTGATCTATACATTCTATCCAAAATCTGAGACACCCTTTGGTAGATAATGGCTCTAGGAACAACATATTATAAAATCAACACTCTCGGGGTATCAATGAAGAAGCTAATTTCAATTGAAAGTGGAAATTTCTTGTAAAATTTTGTAGACACAGTTAAAATTATGATTAATTACATAATTGTTGTACAAAACTAACATTGCATTAATTTGAAAGAGTAATCTGTTAGCTATCTATAAATACCAATTTTATAAATTTTCAAGCATTATAAAGAAAGTTACAGCATTTTAAAACTGGGGAGTTGAAGGTATAAAATCTTTGTATTGTGCTACCTTAATAGCACTTCACTACATTAGTATGACAAAAGAATCATCAGATAAAAACTTAATAATCGTACAGTATCAGAAGTTTTAATTTTCAAACAATATTGGTAAAATTTCTCAGGAGACTAAAATCAAATATATAACGTAAAGTCTGTGAAATTCCAACATCAATATTTTGATGGAATTTAATCAAAATTATAATTTGATGGGTGTTTTAGTTAGCCTCTGTGTTCTTTTAATTAATCTTTTCCTTATATATTACACTTTAAAACTAAATACTGAATGACAAGAATACAGTCATTTTCTTTCATAAATAATTAAATTAAGTAATATATAATGTTTCATATATTTCAATGCCATTTACAACTTTACAGACGCCACGATCAACAGAGTCTCAAGGATTATGGTACTGAGTGACTTCCTATTAGTCCAAAAAGGTGATGTGTATGTGCACACTTCACTTAAACCTGTATTGGAATGCCCCACGACCAGTATCTTGAATACAAGCAGTTGGGTAAGTGCAATGAAGAGGCGACAGATGATTAGTCTATTTACATACATTAACCTTATTTTTTTTTATAAATGTCAGGTTGTGAAAATAATACAGAATTAGTTGTGTAATAATATATCAGGTTTATGATTATGAAATCAAGCTATAAGGATTTAAATCTGACTTTTTACATTAATATAAACTTTAAGCCCGAGAAGTGCACGAGTAAAAGTGAAGTGTTTAAAGACAACCTTTGCGGATAGACATGAAGTTATTCGGAATCATAGTCCTTGTTGTTCTGTTGATGGTGGCCTTAGTTACAATGCCAGCTGGTAAGTAGAAAAGTCAGCAATATTGGTGCATAATAAATGCTGCGTTTACAATTTTCTCGATTTGTTTCGTCATTGTATTAAATTCTTTTTGACACTTTTATTTACTACTACACATAGTACCTTTCTAGTGTATAATTTTCAGGAAAATTACTGCTTGGAATATCAGTTCCACATTTTCTTTTTCTGGTTTGCGACATCACTGAGTTAGACTTGTCGCCGATTGTGTTACTTAAGGTAGCACAATACAAAGATTTTTTTACTTCCAATCTCCAACCTTTAAAATGCTGTTACTTTCTTAAGACTGCATATAAATTAATAAAAGAGGTATATATAGATAGATAAAAGATAAATCTTTTAAATGAAGGCAATATTTTTGTTATGCAATCATTATGTAATCAATTATTATGCAATTAATGGCAAAATCTTGGTCAGTTCACTTGAATGAATTTAGCTCTTTCATCTCTATAACTATACAGGAAATTTAAACGAAATCTTAATCAACACAACAGGAGCTACAAAAGGGTGTCTCAAATTATCGCTATCAAATTCCGTTCTCTCATAAATCTCTAATTAGTGTAAACATCCTTACCACATAAAAGTAGATAATATTTGATTAGGTGTAAAAAATTGATCTATACAATCTATCCAAAATCTGGGACACGCTTTTGTAGATAATGGCTCTAGGAACAACATATAATAAAATCAACCCTCTCGGGATAACCATGAAGAAGCTAATTTCAATTGAAAGTGGAAATTTCTTGTAAAATTTTGTAGACACAGTTAACATTATAATTAATTCCATAATTGTTGTATAATACTAACATTGCATTGATTTGAGAGAGTAATCTGTTAGCTATCCATAAATACCAATTTTATAAATTTTCAAGCATTATAAAGAAAGTTACAGCATTTTAAAACTGGGGAATAGGAGGTATAAAATCTTTGTATTGTGCTACCTTAAATGAGTAATAAGACGGATGCCACACGTTAAGCATGTTCTGCTTACTTTCCGGAGCACCTTAGATCACCGCCGGGTTTTGGTCTGGTTCGTGTTTTTCAGTTTTTTATTTTTCTATGTTGTGTTTTGTAGATTGATGTTAGTATTTTTGTCGTTGTTCGTTTTGTTGGCATGGCATTGACAGTTTGGTTATACCTATACGTTTACATATACCTTTGGTATCTTCCCTCTCTCCTTTACAGCGACAGCTCAGAAATGTGATAAATATAGATTCTACCACTCGAGACAGTTAAATTTTCAAATTTAAAACGCGAGGCTCGCCGAGCGTTTTAAATATTTAAAATTTAACTGTCGAGAGTGGATAAATATCGTATTACACGAGATTTGGTGGTGGAATCTGTTTCTCTAATGATTTTCAATCAATATGCAGGCAAACTTATTCCTTCTTTTTGAATGATCTGCAAAAAGATGTGTTCTTTCTATGTGACGTCATCAGGCATGGTCGCCTTTTTTCATGCCGTCACAATAGGAAATTCAGAGGAAAGCAAGAAAATTCGACGTCATAATCGGATTTTAACCAATGAAGAACTGAGATCAAACGAACCACACGTTGATTAAATTTTTTTTATACAATGGGTGCAGAAAGGGATAAATTGACGAAGAATTAGAGAAATCAAGTAACCTATAGAACTCTCTTTAAAGTTATACGTGTTATTAAAGTAATGTTTTAAAGATTTCGGGCGCAGGTTTTTGTTGGCTTTGTTTTGTTCAATCTGTTGTAAAATGTTTTATATTTTATAGACTGTTGTTTGTCTGCTCATCGTCTTTCTTTTAGCAAAAGTGTTATCTACCTACCATCAACGTATGCTTTTGTAATTTTTCTCCGTTTTTTGAAATGTACAAATTTGATATTTTGTATTTTTTGTTCATTAATACAACATATAGAGATTAGTAACCAAAAATATCTACATTTGCGCGTTTTCAGTGAATAACACAAAGGTGGGATAAGAATATCCAATGTTATTCTGACATCAGAACAAGTAACGAAAATTCAATTATACAGTAGTCATACATGAAAAGGTCAAACATGTTTTTATTTTTCGAACAAAATAAATATTACTTTTTCATTGTTTTTAATTTTTTTGATGTACTAAAACAAACGTTTTGTGCACAAGGTTTTTTTTAAAAGTATTTTTCATATTGTAAAGGTATTTACAAAAAACAACAGGACCTATCCATTCTCCTTCTCCCAAAATATCTTAGTTCAGCCTTCCATGGAAGTAATTATTCAGAAAGTACATGATGTTCCCTCTGTTTATGCTAAATGATAGTGTACTTAGAAAGCAAACGATTTATCCATCGTATTGTACCGACCCTGATGATAGAAATAGATTCATTAATCAATATGATGACAATTACAGATGCCGATGAAGATTCTAAGAATAAAGATTGGTGGTGGAAAATGTTTGGTAAAGGGGTGAGGAGGAATTTTTCTTATTTTCTTATTTAGTCCAGGATTAAAGAAAAAATTTCTTTATTTAATTGTTATATACTTGTTTATTGTACTGCAATTAATCATATGCATTTGATAATCTGCGACTGGTTTATTTTGAATATATTTTGATAAAATATTTGTAACAAAATTAATATTATTAGATATAAACAGGTTTCATTTTTAGAGATGGAGTTGATTTATGCATTTCAATACTATGAATAGTATTATCAGATTATTACATGGCATTTTTTCATATCAGATGTTTTATAAGTCCAAGTTTCAATATCAGCCCAATAGCTAAAGGCTCCAGAGCTGATATTGACCGAGGGCTAATAATACATCTGATATGAAAAATGACATGTTATGATCTTTTTATCATATGCTTCAACAATGGAGAAAAATATGTTTTTATATCGACGATAAAATAAAAATCAACAAAACATAATGAAAACTGTTTGGAAAAGTCAACATTTGTAAAGTAACTTGCTAAATTATGCTGGAAACTTTGTTAAATGCATTTATTCATCATTTGTTTTGCATTTTACATTATATATTTTCCTGTTTCCTTATCTGTGTTTTGTACCCTACTTTTGTGATGTTTTTTCACTGAAAACGTACCTTTGAGGTGTATTCTTCAGAATTTGCCGAGTAACGTCGGAATGCTATTCGAGAACGTTACGTAAGGCATGCGATAATAGCCGGAATCAGTTGATAAATATTTCATATCAGCCCACTAAGCACCATTTTTGAAAATATGGAATTCACGTTAATTTAATGCTATTATCACACTTTAAAAATTATAAGTTATTTACTCTAAGTATATGATAACCGTGATAATTACAGCAGATTACCAACATATATATATATATATATATATATATAGACGCTAGATTAAAACTGAAGAGGAAGGGTAACACCCGGCTACCGAAAGCTTTATTTTTTGAAGCCGAGGTGGTCGAGTGGTCTAGCGCGTCGGATACAGTGCAGGCGATTTGGTGTCACGTTATCTCAGTAGCATGACTTCGAATCCCGGCGAGGGAAGAACTAAAAATTTACGAAAGCAAATTTACAGATCTAACATTGTTTGGCTGATGTTTAGACGAGTTGTATATACAGAATGTACACAGCCATGTATCGCCATTACTGCTGGTGATCCGATGGATTAATCTGTTGTAGAGTTGTCATTGGTTCAGACGTACTTATAAATATAATTATTTCTGTGACTGTATCTTGTATTCATTTGTAGGATACTTTACAATAGATATTTCAGCTGATCTGTAACAATTCCATCTTCATGCCTTATATATCATGTACTGTATTACGACGCTAGATTAAAACTGACGAGGAAAGGTAACACCCGGCTACCGAAAGCTTTATTTTTTGAAGCCTAGGTGGTCGAGTGGTCTAGCGCGTCGGATACAGTGCAGGCGATTTGGTGTCACGATATCTCAGTAGCATGAGTTCGAATCCCGGCGAGGGAAGAACTAAAAATTTGCGAAAGCAAATTTACAGATCTAACACTGTTTGGCTGATGTTTAGACGAGTTGTATTTATATATATAAGTCTAAATAAAAAACAACGTTCAAACCTATTATATATATATGTGTGCTACACTGTCTTCAAGGGTTTATACATGTTTACTCTTAATTTTTTGAATACAGAAAAGTAGTGAACAAATCAAATATATTCAAACAGAGATCTGGAATCAACATGAATCGAACATTAATAATAATTAGGTATTGACAATTCATTTGGAAACTCAACATACACCCTCACGACACTTACCAAAGAGGAAATCTTGGATAATCATTGGTCTTTTCTATGTTCCTTTGGAATTCCAGCCAAAGGTGAAGAACTGGATCTTCCATCACTGTATTGGATACCTAAACTGCATAAGTGTCCTTACAAACAACGGTATATTGCTGGGTCTTCCAAGTGCTCCATGAAATCTCTTTCTTAATTATTAACATCTATTTAATCAGCAATCAAAGAGCCGGGCTCCAAAGTTATTGTGAAACATCATATTCTAGAGGTGGCGTGAATCAGATGTGGATACTAAAAAATTCCAAAGATCTTTTAGAGTACATACAATCTAAGACTCTCTCATCTTGCAATAGTATTACAACATTTGACTTTTCTACACTTTACACAAGTATACCCCATTCCAAACTAAAAGACAAATCGAAAGAGTTGGTCTATTTTATTTCATTAAAAAAAAATGGCGAACGTAGATACAAGTATCTTGTCTTGGGGAGGGATAAATTCTACTTTGTAAAGAATCACTCTGATTCAAACAAAAAATTCTCTGAAACTGACATTATCAAGATGCTTGATTTCTTGATTGACAACATATTTGTTACGTTTGGAGGACGTGTTTTTCAACAGACTGTCGGAATTCCAATGGGAACCAATTGTGCCCCTCTTCTTGCCGACTTGTTTCTTTATTATGATGAGGCTGACTTCATACAGGAACTTCTTAGGAAGAAAGATAAGAAGTTAGCAATATCCTTTAACTTTACGTTCCGCTATATAGATGATGTTCTCTTACTAAATAATACAAAATTTGGTGACTATGTTGAACGAATCTATCCCATCGAACTAGAGATAAAGGATTTTTACGGATACAGTTAAGTCTGCCTCATATCTTGACTTACATCTAGAAATTGACAATGAGGATCGGTTGAAAAGAAACCTTTACGACAAAAGAGATGATTTCAGCTTCCCAATTGTGAACTTTCCATTTCTATGTAGCAACATTCCAGCAGCGCCTGCATACGGATTATTATCTCCCAATTGATACGATATTCCTGGGCTTGTATTTCCTATAATGATTTCCTTGATAGAGGATTGCTGCTCACAAGGAAGCTATTAAACCAAGAGTTCCAAATGGTGAAGTTGAAATCATCCCTTCGTAAATTTTACGGACGCCATCACGAGTTGGTTGACCGTTATGGAATAACCGTTTCACAGATGATATCGGATATGTTCCTTATGTCGCAACTACAATACCCTTCCCTTTTCACGAATGTGACCTACCGAATTAGACTATTTACCGGATTTGTAATAACATAAGCAACACGACGGGTGCCACATGTGGAGCAGGATCTGCTTACCCTTCCGGAGCACCTGAGATCACCCCCAGTTTTTAGTGGGGTTCGTGTTGCTTAGTCTTTAGTTTTCTATCTTGTTTCATCTGTACTATTATTTGTCTATTTGTCTTTTTATTTTTGGCAATGGCGTTGTCAGTTTGTTTTCGATCTATGAGTTTGACTGTCCCTCTGGTATCTTTTGTCCCTCTTTTAATACATATTATATAAACAAATACAACACTAACCATGACAGTAAAAAAGCTTAGTTTATCGGCATGGCGTATTTTATAAACTTAATAAAATAATCATTTTATAAAATGCTGATATATACATAGTGCATGTTGTGTCGGCCTTTTAATGATCAAATTGACTTTAAAAGTAAAAAAATAGGCATGTCGGTAATATTTTGAATTCACGTAAATATTGCTTTCGTGTAAGTTAATTTTGTATATATCAGCATATTAAGACAGGAAAATGCTCTTTCTGTTAAGACACATAGGCATTTTACAGAATCCCGATTTTATTTTAAGAATGCGCTAATTTATTGTTGAAGTAATTCGATGTTTTTGAAAAAGCTGGTGAAATATGACAAATTGCCAAACGGACAAATTTATTCTTTTGTTGCATTGATAAAAATAACACGAACTAATCTAGTATTTAGTTTGCAAAAATGCAAGTATACCTGTTTTAAGAAAACAAGTTTGACAGGATAATTTGTTTTGTAATTAATTACATTGGCTAACTTTTAAGATAAGATCTTTCCAATAAAATGAAATTATGATATATGTTAGTCCAAATAATAATGACGTGGTCACAGCATTTATTTAAAATAGCCTTTCAGTACCGTCATAGTCATGATAATTGTTTGGACTTGTATTGTGAAAATAATCGTATCAAATTCAAGATTATATATTCGTTACAAAAATACGTCACTGTTTGTGATGTCCTGTGCTGTCGTTAATGGAAGATGTTCGTTGTTATTCTGCGGTTTACATGTTGTAACGACTATTATATTATTTATTTGTGCGTTTCTCTGTGCTAAGTTTTCTTGCGTTTGTTTGTGCTGTATTTCTGTCACGTAGTGTTGTTATTTTAGCGATATTTTTTAACATTGCAATATAAGCGGGAGGTTTGGCTAGCCATTAAACCAGGTTCAACCCACTTTTTTTTCTTAAAATATCCTGTACCAAGTCAGGAATATGGCAGTTGTTATTAAATAGTTCGTCTCTATGTATGTTGGCGTTTGTTTTTGTTGCACTTCAGTGTTTCTGTTGTTTTGTTGTTTTCCTCTTATAGTTGATGTGTTTCCCTCGGTTTTAGTTTGTAACCCGGATTTGTTTTCTCTCAATCGATTTGTGACATTTGAACAGCGGTATACTACTGTGGCTTTTATTTAAAAGTATAAGAACATTGTTCTTTTTACCACACTGATACAGTTAATCAATAAGTTATGTTTTTAATGGTACATCGAGTTAAGAAAAAGACAGACAAACGAAACTGTAATAATAATTATTAAGAAACCAACCATGAATGTTTAGTTTAAGAGTTGTCATATCTGTCTTTAAAGTCAATCATAGTAACATAACAACATTTATCATCATTCTGACATAACATACACATGAAATATAATGGTAAACAAGTAAAGGTTAGTGTAAACATATTTTATTAAAGAATTCGTTATGTATAGCTACAACAGTAATTAAATACAAATGTACGTCTAGTAATTCAATTATTGGGATGAGGAAACAAGAGAAGTGATCTTATATCAATCCGTCTCCATAACGGAGTAATGGTGAAGTGAATATAACCTCATCTACCTGAATTGCTTGATGTTTAATAACAATGAGCAGTTTACCAAAATAAGCGTTAGGTGTACATTTGTTAGGTTGAAAATGACAGCTCTTAAAAATAATTTCTTGTAATTTCAACTAATTGATAATAACCCAAACCTTTTTGCTAGAATTACAAAAACCTGTATTTTTATTATTTTATTAATCTTATTAGCGTATTTAAAACAATCGAAAGTTTGGACTCAAGGACAGACAAAATATTTGCCTGATTAAAGCGTTAATGTATTAACATAGAATATCAGATACATAGCAAAGTCATTTCTTGAAATACGGCAAATAAAATCTGCCTAATTCAGTGGAGTTATCACAAATAGTGTATAAATGAAACATGGTACGTGTATAACAGATATCGAAATTACTCACAAAATATTATCGCACACTTTAACATGGTCAATCAATACATTTCATACAATGAACATTTTTTTCAAATAAACCTTCATTTATTTTTTCAGCATAGTGCAAATGAAGGTTATGGAGGAGGTTATGGTGGAGGTCGTGCGTTTGGAAGATGATACTTTGAAAATATGAATAGTTTCTGAGTGACGAAACAGAAACGTATTTAACAATGATATTTCTTCAAATAAAAAAGTTTTCTTTTGTCTCCATATATATTTCTACTGTCGATACATACAATATTTATATAAGTTTTAATGATGTGTATACCTGACAGATTCAGAAAATAAGAAAGTGGAATTAGAATGTCACGATTGTGGGTAACAACCGAGTTGACATCAAATAACTGTAACAAAAAAATTATTTATCATTGTTCCGGTTCAATGTACAGTACGAACCGGGACATAGTCTTAAAATTAAAATAATCATCGTTTCCCTCGTGATAATAGACTTCAGGCTTTTTTGGGGTCATTAATCAGAAACTGCTACGTAGGTTAAATATTACTACCTGCAGGTTTGATTTACAGGATATCATCCATGTATGTGATTCACTGCCTCATGTTGACAATTATGCTTTCTCTAATTGTACCCATTTTATACTTTTCCCGACCTGCAAATTATTTCAGAACGTGTGTTCATTTTATCTCAACGTTTAATTTTGACGTCAAGTGTTCTTGCCGTCTTAGTATTTCCAATTATGATTTGAAAGGTGACCATGCCCGATGACGTCACATATCAAGAACATCCTTTTTTGATAAGATATAATTAAACATAGAAGTGATCAAATCTTAAATTCAAAGTCATAACAAAGCTGTAAGTTCATGTTGACAAATGGATGTAACTGTAAAAAAAACATAAGTTACCAACGAACTCATATCCAAGATGTCAACAAAACTTTGTCCTTGATAGAGAAAAATTACTAGAAATGTTTTGTAGGCAACTCTCAGTAAAATTGGTACCATGAATGTTATTTAAAAGTCGTCAAAATCTAAGAACGATTGGCGATCTTTCGAAAAGATCTGTCGGTTTGAACTTTTATGAAGGATGAACATGTACACTGGCAAAAATACCACACATGTGTACATCCGTGACACATGCGTTTCACATGACGTTTCATGCCACACATGTGACACATGTGTGAAAAACACATATGATACGCATGATACACACATGTGATCATGCGTTTCACATGTGAATTAAATGCGTAAGGACATACACCTGTGATACATGCGTGATTACTGCATGTAAAAGGCATGGTGCCTGTATCAAATATATTTTCAAAATGTCCTCCTATTTGTCAAATTACCATGATTGTTGACATGTATCTTAGTTCTCATGTGCAGCAACAGTGTATAGTACACATATAGTTATTATTACAGTTTCATATTTATCCTTTTTTATCTGTTGTGAATGCTTCATGAAGAACATGTTATAAAAATCATCAGACCGGAATAAAATTTGAACCTGATCTGTAACTTGTCAAACCAAATATTAAATCAATAAAAGCATGACAAAAAAAACCTAAACAAGAAAATGTGTCAATGTATAGTACACTTCCCTGCTCACACTATCATTTTCCATGTTCTGTGTACCACTAAGTTGGGGTCAAAACCCTAATAAGAAAGCCATTGTATTAAGTGTTAAGTTGATTGGGCTTCAACTTTATCAAAAACTACCGTGACCAACAACTTTAACCGAAATCCTTAACCTGAAATGGAATGGACGGACGAATGGACAGACGGATACACACACCAAAAACATAATGCCCCTCTGCTATCCTATAGGCAGGGAATAAAAGTGCATACTACTACGTATATATAAGCATGATAAAAAGCAGTCTTGACATAAAATCCTGTTGTATGTGAGTGACATTGACTTTCATCAGCACATAATAACTAATTTAAACATGAAAAAACACCAGTAAAGAATAATTTGTTAACAATTTCTTCCCAATATCATCGTCTTGTATAAAAATTGGATCCATTTTTCATATGCATCTTTATTACATTTGGGTAACACATGTAATAACAGCTTTTAATAACTTTGACTTGACCAGATATCATCACTAAAAGTAACATAAAAACTCATGAAAAATGAAACTTCATGACCTTTTTTGATTAAGTTTGTTTAAAGGAACATGCCTTTTGAACAGACTGGTCAATTACAGTACTGTACTGTATCTTTTTACTGTTTTTAATGATGGATCTTTTAATGTATACACTTAAAAGGTCAGGTCCTGCTTTTTTTCTGATTCTGTTAATGAAGTCAAATAAAAACAAACATAAGATGTGGCAATAATATCTGTAATTATAAAAATATAAAATTTGAAATAAATACATTTACACAAATTTATTAGTGCTTTAAATTGATACAATCAATAATAAAAATAAAAATATAACAATAACAACAACAATTAATATTTCATCTTAATTTAAATAATTTAATCTAGTAAAAAAAAATGCAGCTATACATACAGAACGTATATGTGTAACTTCCAGTACAAACCATATAAATATAAAATTGAGAATGGAAATGGGGAATTTGTCAAAGAGACAACAACCCGACCATAGAACAGACAACAGCAGAAGGTCACCAACAGGTCTTCAATGCAGCGAGAAATTCCCGCACCCGGAGGCGTCCTTCAGCTGGCCCCTAAACATATATATATACTAGTTCAGTGATAATGAATGTTTACATACTTATAATATAAAACAACTTAGCTATGAAGCGTTTAGGTAAACAAAAACTGGTAAGCAAATGTGATATATATAGCGAAAGAAAGCAGTTTTATAGTGACTTGACTTTTTTAGTTATTGTACGACAAGTACTGGAACTTTTTAATCATGAAACAAAAGATTTTTAATATAAGTGTTTGTGGATATAGGATTTCACTGTATATATAGAGCACTACAAAATATTCCTAATTATTGGAGCAACACTATACATAATGCTAATCACAATTTCGACATACAAATGTATGGTTCCTCTATAAAGGGGGAAAAATGCAGAGGTAAGAGGTAAGGTAATGTAATTATTCATCTATTAAAAAAATCTACATTAGTAAAAAATTATTACCTCCCCTGTTTGTATATAATGTTCATTCGTCACAACTCGGCCGATTCCGTACCTTCATCTAACCTCGTCCGTGATACGTAGGTTTCCATTACTAATCTCCTGTAAAGGAGGGGAATACAATATTAAAAATATTGCAATTTTACAAATCATCATGGCTGCGCCCATCAGAAAAAATAGACACTTTGAATGACTGAATATTATCCATATTATCATGTTATATTTCGTTTGTGAGGAAATTATGTTACCATGGTTAACATTTAAAACTTATGTTGTAATTGCCGATACTATGTTATATATCTAAATACCAGTAGATACCTTGGGTGGTCGGTCCTGTGTCAGGAACGGCCAGATTGCTCTTCAAGTGTTATGTATCGTCTGTAGCCATTTAGTTCATTACCGAAAGAGGATGATTTCTGGGTAGTTCTACGGACATCTCTAGATTGTCTATCTGATGACCTAAAAACTAACTCTATTGAATACTACACTCCCCCCAGTTTTATTAAAAAGGCCCCCTCTACTGAGGTGGGCCCTGTGAATTCGCCCAAAATCAACAAATAACGGAGATCATACGTAATTTATAGAAAATACTGTAAACCAACTTATTTTCGCGGATACTTTATTTTGCGTTTAGCCCTTTGTAGCACACTTCGTGGTGATTTAATTTCGCGATTTTCAAATTAACTTGATGTAGTTGGATCAGGAAAGATCCAAGTTTTAAATTTTGGCGACGATTTATATTCGCGATATTTTTGTGCTCGCGAAATTCGCGAAGATAAATTGCTCGCGAAAATTGCGAAGATAAATTGCTCGCGAAAATTAGTTGGTTTACAGTATGCATCAATTTTAAAAAGTATGCAACCTATTCCCCCAAACAGACCCTTTGTATTCATGGGTCTACTGATACACTAAAAGTTAATACAATGGGTTCCCAACAAATTGGGAACCCAGCCAACTGTGAAATGTTCTTCTCTGGATAATACACCAACTTCCCCCTCCCTTATACAAACTAAGCCATTGACACTTAGTGGCTGCAAGTCCTCTATATAGCTGGACCCTGGGGGTTGTGCTGATCCATAATCAGTCGTGAAGAGTTCGGTCTCATTTTTCTTCACTTGCACTTTATTTATACCTTTATTAAGGTAGGGAATTCCAGGGTCCCACTGTCTTCTGTTGGGACCCCATCTAACATCTAACTGTTGCCATGGTCACTAGTACGACTGGTGTCCCACTGTCTACTGAAGGGGGGGCTGCAGACTAAAGTACCGAGTGCAAACATTATTTGCTTTGAAAAGTGTCCCCAAACTCAAACTTTGACTTTCTGGATTAATGGATGTGGATTCCTTGTCGAAGAAAGATTCTACAATAATAACTTTTTTTTTTTGTAGATCGGACTGTTGTTTTCAGTTGTTGCCTTTCTGTCAATTGCTCCCCTTGAGGAAGGGTCCACAAAAGTGAGAGATGTATGACCTTTTTCATAATTGTCAGTCATTCCTCCATCTACAACAGGAGTAGGACACATCGACCCTTGATATGGCTGACAACCTGTATCACGGGCCTCAACGTCTGAGGTGGAGTCCCAACTTTCATGGGCCTCCTCATCACTTGCCTTATTTTTATCTCGTGGGGCAACAACCTTGTGATGGCTATGGCTTTCCTCCATAGCCAATATAGCTCCTATGGGTTCCCTCACAATGTTGGCTACTGGACCCTCCTGGTCCGCTGTGAGCACTGCTGGAGCAACTACGTTGCCCAAGTCCAGTTCCTCAAGTTTTCTCCACTAATGGTATGTCTGGGGTATCCACCACCAAGGAATGCCCCTGGTTAGTCCTTATTTTCCAACAACCACTGTCTGTGTCCCTTATTAAAGTGAACCTCTTGTCCACGTCAACCTTGATCAGTTTATGAATATCCGTTAAAGAGTACCCGGTAAAGCCTGGGTGCCTTTTAAGGATTTCCTTCACCAACAAGTACCCATCGGAGAGAAGTCTGTTGCCAAACTCCAGAGCACCATGCCTCAATATGTTAGCAAGAGTTTTCAATAAATAGCAGTCCAATCCGCCTGAATGAGTTGTCTCTTCATCAGAACTTGAGGACTGCTCTGAATCAATCTCTGCTCTAACATCCACCGACA